TGTTATAAAATTATAACTTTTTTTTGAACTTGTTTAGCGATTATTTGTGTCTGTTTAATGAGTACTTATTCAAATCGTCAGGTCTGTCCTGAAATAAGTGTTTAGTCGGATGTTTTGTATATTCTGGGTATCATAAATTCGCATACAATTCAATTTTGTAGCTTTTATTGTTTTGGTTTTACGGCATTTTCGAAATCTGACTACGATGACTTGGAGCTCTTTTACTAATCAAAATATTACAAAGTATGGCAAATGGAATCATACAATAAATCCCGTCTTGTAAAGGAGATTATAGAAATTGCCTATTTTCCGATTTCCATAGTCTTGTCGCAATATATTCGGTTTTCTCGGACATCAGAGACAACCTCCCCGCGGTTCAGTGGACAGCCGAGTAACTAATTGTTTTTAAATGTTGCATTTATCGATAACCAAGTTTAAAAATAATAACACCGAGTCAAACGTTACTATATACGTACGTATATTACACATATGTATGTGAAAACGAAATGTGTTAAGACAAACCATAAATTGATTGTTTTGTTCGTACCAATTTTTCGTGATGGTACGGTAAATTTGATGGATGTGGGGAGTAAGTACGATTAATGTTACTACCGAAATTTAATTGCCGGAATCACACTAGCAGCTCAACTACCTTGCCCGGTAATGGTATGTAACAAATGAGTATGTATATGTAGCCGTGTATACACAAAGGCATGCATACACAAAGAATCATTCATTTGGTATCTATGTGTTATGGGTTAATGACCCAATTTTTGACCAGAAATTCAGAATTCATTGGAGAAATGGGAAAGAAAAACAAAATTATGAAAACAAAATAAAACTTTCGATTTCTTTACAATTTCGCCTTCACATGATTTGTAAGACACATTGACTCATTGTTTTGACTATTTTGGTTTAGTACCAAATTTGGAATTTGAAAAACAGCAACAACAACACAACAAATTGCCAAACGAACTAAGAAAGACAATACGGGCCAGCAGATAGGCGGAGGGGTAAAATGACTGACATATAACATGGCTTAGGAATCCCTATTAGGTAATAAGAAACCAAGGCGGGCGGTCGGTTACACGCAACACTTTCATTTTAACTTTATAAACTATTTTATTAACTGAAACGGGTGTTGGATGTGATCGGAAGGAAGGGTGAAGAGGGTAGAAACATAAGCAATTATTACTTTTATTATTATTATTATTTTTTTTTTTGTAAAAGACTTTCTCATTGTTATAAAATGGCCGAATACAGATATATTGATATGTAAACAATTCTTAAAGTATGCCGACAATATCTCCGAAATATATCCACAATAAATGTTACCAATATCTTTGCAATCAAAGGCATGGCAATTGCAGTAAAATCTATGAACGATGACAGGGAAAAGATCAATTTTTCGTTTCGAGCTCCCTGGTACCGTTTCATAAGTCTTCCCAACCTCAATGCTGTTGGGGCAAAAGAACAACGCTCGGTTGCTACATTCTTGTTGCAACATTCGATTCGAACATGAAACCCAGGTTAGAATTTCAATAAAGTTCGGTGGAGGCACCTGGATCAAATCGATGAAGTTAGCAAGTTGTTATATTAGACCATTTTTTGAGAAAAAAAAAAGAACCATTTCCTTTGCCAATTAGCACCGTGGAACATAACACTGCTTACTTTGTTAGAACCTTTCTCCTTATAAATTAAACAGCGAGTAATCCTTTATAACATGAGATGCCACTGATTTCGAGGTCGAAAAACACAAAATAAGTAATAAAGGACTATTACACACTACACTATTAAAAATCAGAATACTAACCCACTATGTCAAGAATGCCACATCTCGATTATTATATTACTGACGCAAAGAAATCACTTAAAATTTCTAACCAGTCAAAGTTCAGTTGTTAAGAATTCGGTAAGGTATAGGTTTGGATTTATTTTATTGAGCCTTTTTGTCAAAAAAAAACTTTATAATTGTAGAGAGCAACAATAGGGAGTAATACTTCAGACTAGAATGTATTATCTGAATTTACAATATAGGTATATAGCACTGAGTTTGAAAAGAGCTAGAAAAAATAATGATTTATAATATTTTAGGTTAAAAATTCCTTGCTCCCGGGACAAGAATTCTGGAAGAAAGATTTAAATAGGCCATCATAAATATGATTTTGCCTAAAGTCTTAAATTATAAGTTGATACTTTGCAATACAAATAACAATACAAGCAAGAATCATATATAGACGTAATATGCCCTCAATTTAGAGAACATTCAGATATTTAATAGTGATAACTGATATACGCAAATGAGTGCTGCATTTGCCGTAGTGTAAATCAGTCACAGTAATTTGTTTCATTCAAGACTCTGCCAAAAATTGTGAATTTTATTATTTGATAAACTTTTTCTGTTTAAGAAAAAAACCTGCGAAACTCATTTGATAAAAAAGCTGATCTACAATGTCAATATTAACAGTAGCGTGCAAAACCGATCACATGTTTTGCAAATTTGGCAGTTAAGCTGTGTAACAATATTTAAAGTCAATCAAATTAAATGAAACTTATGTTATATTTTATTTAATTCATTATAATAATATTAAGGCTGAAATCAACTTAAAGTGTATACATATTCGGGATAATTTATTATAAACATAAGAGGAACTCCATGTGCTCAGTTTTGCACGTTTCGCATATATTCGTTGTTTTCCAAATTCTTAGTATTTTGTCCATAACCCTTTATTTTTTATGACACCTTTCATACGTTTGGGCATACTTTCCACTAAATTTTGGATAAAATTGTCAGGAATTTGTCCCCATTCAAATTGTACACGCCGCCAGAGTTCATCCATATTCTCAGGAGCTCTCTTGTATTTTCCAAGTCTTTTTTTCAAAATGGACCACAAATTCTCAATTGGATTGAGATCGGGTGATTGTGCGGGCCACTCCATAAGCTTAAATGTTTGTTGGAAAAACCACTCTTTTACTATTTTGGCGGTGTGTTTCGGGTCTCCATCCTGTTGGAAAATGACTTGCTCCTCCGAGTATGGACTGGATTGTACGAAGTCTGGTAAATTTGACTTCAAAATATCCAGGTAGTCCTCCTTCTTCATTATCCCACTTATTTTAACAATTGGTCCAATATTATGCCATGTAAAACAGCCCCACACCATCAAACTACCTCCACCATGTTTCACTGTTTGTTTCACGTGATGCCTTTGGATGGTTTCTTTGGGACGACGCCAGTAGTAACTTATTCCGTCTGATTGAAATCGGTTTATTTTTACTTCGTCCGACCAAATCACTCGCCTCCAATCCTCAACACTCCAATTCACATGTTTCTTGCAGAATGCTAAACGAGCTTTAACATTTTTAGCGGATAAAGCCGGTTTCTTCTTCTTTACTGCTGATAGCAATCCAATTCTATGCAACGCTCTACGGGCGGTCCACTCGCTTACATTCTTATTTAATGCATCTGCAGCTTGTTTAGGTGTTATGGAACTATCTTTTCTCATTTCTCGTTCCATTAAGCGGGCATCCGCGTCAGAAAGTTGTCTCGGTCGACCTCCAACATTTGGCGCTCGCACAATATTTTTTCTTTTCTGGACTTTAACTACAGTGCTTTGACCAATATTCAATTTTTCGGCTATTTCTCTGGTAGAATGCCCTTTTTCCGTTAACACCACGACACTATTTTCTAGTTCTACGCTAAGTTTTTTCATTTTTTATTAAATGATAATTTTATTAAATCGATCACTTTCAACACGTGTTAAGAACTAATATCAAAGTAAAATACCAAACTAAGATAAAGAGTAAAAACCAATGAGAGATCAACAAAAGCATGAGAGACCAATAACGGTAAATATTTGTTTACATTTCTACATTAACTTTCTGCTTTTTGAATAAATGCGAAACGTGCAAAACTGAACATATGTGATGTCTCTCATGTTTATTACATAGTATCCTGCACAACCTGGTTATACTAAATAGTGTTGTATGCCATTTGTTTTGTTTTGTTTCTAGTAATGAATCAACAAAGTTTCATTTCATTTAATTGCGTACAAATATTTTTACAGAGCTTAATATCTAAAACCGCAGAAGGTGTGATCGGTTTTGCACGCTACTGTATATGACACAAGCGTAAGTTTGAAATGTTCTAGCACTTATGTTTGGGAATCCCCATTCCACTTAACATTTGAAACAAGTGTGGGCTTTATAATGGTGCCTTTTTCGGAATGAAGTAAATTTCTGATTAAAAAAAAACATTCACGGTACGAGAACATGCCAGGAGAGGTGGGCTTATTGCTATTTTTTTTATAAATTTTCCAACCGAATCTGGTTTACAAGTACGCTGCTCATGGGGAACACAATATGTGTATTCCAATGATTTTCTCAATTACAAAGTTTTTTAAAATGCATTTGAAAAACAATTTTAGAATACTTTATATGCAAAACGTAGAGTAGAGAATACAAAATCCTATATTTTCTCAAAAATATGAATTATTTTAATAATGCCCAAAACGTATCTGAATGCAATAGAACTCGACCAGGGCACGGATATAAATTCTTCTTCCTCTCTGGCTTCGTGATAATCCACTCTTTCTTGGTTTTAAAGGAATCTAATGTCCAACAAGCGAAAGATTCAATTTTTGGATTATTGAGAAATTATATGACTCAAATATAAACAATTTTGAAACAAAAGAACACATCCAAATGAAATGTCGTTCCACAAATACTATCTAAGTTCGTTCGTTAGTACAAAAGATATACATCTGCATCTACAGTTACGTTTTCTGTTGTCTGACAATTTGCGAAATAATGTTTTGCCTGTTTTTATTTTTTGTTTTGTTTTTGTTTCGAATGTATGAATGAATGGACGAACAACAGTAATAGGGGCGAACAAACAAACCAAATGATTTGATTTGCGTTGCAATTTGCTCAGGGTGACCGAAAATGGATTTTGATACCGGCGAGGAGTGAAATAAAATAAAAAGAAGAAGAAGACAACTTACGGTTTTTCATTTAAAAATTCACCCCGCGTAAATTCCGATAGTCGCCGTGACTTGCCTTTCTTGGTGGTATTGGCGTTAGACCCAGCAGAAGAAGAAGAAGCAACAGCAGCAGCTGGTGTTGACGAATTCGTGGTATTTCTGCTTGGCAAACACAGACAGGGCAACTCTATGTGAATGGAACACGTAGAACGGCTCGAGGAAATGGAACAGGCGACGGGGTGGCCGGGCGTGGACAGGTCGCCGGTGGTCGATACCTCAATTACACCACCGTGCGAGTGGGCGTGCGGGTGACGATGGTGCAGCTGTGTTTTGGACACAGAAAACGGTTCATTGCAAGTGCAGTTCGACTTGGAGGCTTTCCAGGCGAATTCCCAGGAACCGAAGAGTTCTCGGGTAGACAAGCCCGCAGCAGCATCATTGTTTGCCACATGATCACAGTGACATTTCAGAGGGATTTGATTCGACCAACGTCGTAGCTTGTTCTCCTTTGCCGAAGTGCGTTCTTCATCAGCTGAACTTGAGGCTGTCAAAGAATTGTCAAGCGACAGTTTCTTCACCAGCAGAAGTTGTTTGGGCTTTTGACCTTCTCGCAGACAATTGTGCTGTTTCAGACTTCGGCGTGGTCGTGGTGGCGAGGGCGTTGCGGGCGGTGATATTGTCACCGATGTTGATATGGCATCCAATGAATTTGACTTTTGAATGGGACAGCCGCCGCCAACGGTGACACCACCGCTGCCACCAACACCACCTCTACTGCTAAAACCAGCCTTGTCACGATTTTTGGCAATGATGCGCGAATACAATTCCTCACTGTCCAATGGAATGAGATTTGATTTGAAAGCAGGACACTCAGCTCCCTTAGGGCTATCGCCTGCTGGGGGTTCGGCGGTTTTGGCGTCTGTAATTGTGTTTTTAGCGTCATGGCCCGTTGCCTTGTGCGCCGCCAGCATATTCGACAGTCTTCGTATCTTATTTGGTTTTGTTGTTTTGGGTGCGGATTTTGCAGTGTCGCCGATTGCTGTGGCTGTGGCATTGAAGGCAGACGCAGCCAATGCCGCAACCTCTTCTCGTTTCTCGTTGTCGTGTTGTTCCCGCTGTTCTGCACCATTTTCGACGGCAGTCGTTGTGGCGGCCGCTGTCTTTAGCGATTCGTCAATTTTGCTGACCACAAATCGATTCTTAACATGACCTTTAAGCTGCTTCAGCTGGCCATTCACCGCCGCTGTTGCTGAGGCCATGGCCGTTGCTATTGCCGTCGATTCGTTGCTGGCATCCAATTTCTCTCCTTGTAAGATGTCATAAATCGTTCCGTATTTGGGGTGCTGTGTGGCTGGCGGCAGCACAGCTGCTTTTATAGTGCCACACCTCGTGGTATTCTCTTTGTCTTTGTCTTTGCCTGTGTCAGTGGCAGCATTAGCATTTTGATTTGGCGGGGATGGCGAGATCGACGACAACTGATGTGCGGATGTGTCGGCCATCATGTTGTCGTTGTTGTTGCTTGGAGCATCTTTGCTGGGCAGGAGGCAAGTGGTTTGTTGCTTCTGGATAATATCATAAATTATGCCGGACTTTTTCAAATTCTCCAAATCTGCTCGGGTTTTCTTGTCGACGCTGGTGGTGGTGTCTTTTTCCAATATAGCCGCTAAGCTTTTGCGGTGGTGCGTCTTCTCGTTGATACTCGCACATGTTGCACCAGAAGAATTTGATGTTATTGAGCTCTGAGACGTCTTGCGATGGAGGATTTCGTAGATGGTTCCGTAGGTCATGTATTTGTCGTAGCGTTGATATGTTAGGTTGTAGATATCGTTTTTGCGCTGGATTATGTCGTAGATTGTGCCGTAGACAAGCTTGTCGTATATCTTGAAGTTGCGTTTGTAATTGCTCGTGCTGTTACTACTGGCGGTTTCGGGCAACAGGTTGCTGGGCTGAAGTTTCAAAGCATCCTTGGGCTCCTTAAGCGGCACCACCTCAGTGGGGTCGTTGCCGTCGGAAGACTTTTTCTCTTTTGTCTCTTTTGTGTGCGAGTTCCGCCGCATAAGCAGAAATGATGCATAGCTCTTGCGGTGTTTCGAGTTTTGCCGCTTGAAAGCTGAGGACGTCGATTCGGAAGCGATAGCTTTGTCGCTGGTCGACGAGGCTTCACACTCGCGCACTAGACGCTTGAACTCTTCGTAAGATTTGCGGCGCAGGTGGGCCTTTTCCTTCTCCTTCGCCATTAGTTGGCGGTCCAGAATCTTTGATAGGAAATCCGAGTTCTTGCGCAGAATATCCGTGGTTTGCTGGTCACCAGCACTGCCCGTGGCTGTGGATGTGGCCGTCGCTATGGCGATAAGATCTCTTGCGCTCAGGGCTGCGGTGCAGTCGCCAACTGTGCCAAGTGCTAGGAAATCACTACTGGCATTTTTGTCGTCGCTGTCGTGTGCAGCAGTATCCATTTCATGTGTACCTGGTACGGTGCTGGAATTGATTGTTCTGCTGGTCTTTGTGGTGGTGGAAAACTCGTTTGCCAGAGCCGGTTTCTTGGCTAGCTCGTCGTCTCCGCTTAGATCAACAAGTGTTTCTTCTGCTTTATTGGTTTTGTCAAACAACGTCATAGCTGTCGCTGTTGTCGTTGTTAGTGGTGCTGCGGCCGTTGATTCGACTGTTTTTGCACATTCTTGTTCTGATATCGACTCTAGGGTGTTTGTTGTTGCTGTCGACATATCGATTCCCGGGTTTAGCGAAGACAACGGGGACGCGCTTGCGGATGCGGCGACTGACTGCAGAGCCACGCTATTCGTGTCGCTATCAAATAGTTTTCTAAGATCTTGATAGGTTTTACGGCGCGACGACTGTTTTTTGCCAGTGTCAGGCGTACACGAACTTGTTGTGGGGTCCGTTTGAGGTACTGACGACGACAATGGATCCGGGTGGGGGGCAAACATGGCTTTGAATTCCTCGTAGGATTTGCGGCGATTCCGAGACTGAGTCAAACATTCTTTGTAATTGAGGCGAGCTATTTTTTCACCCCCAACCTGTGCTGGTTGCCTTCTACACAGTTCGTCTCGCATCAGCCCACTGAAGATGCTGGCCAGGGGCGGGTGTGAGGGATTTTCCAATTTGTTTTGCATTTCTATAAAACCCGAATCCATCGAGCTTATGGTGCAGGTTGAGTCGAAGCTGGTTTTTCGACTGGAGGCATTGCTGCGCACGGGAGGCGGAGAGGTATTTGTCGGCACTGCCTCCATAAGAGCGGATTCGCCACGCGGCATAGTCCTAGCTATATTTTCCTCTTGCTCTTCCTCCACCACCTCTTCCCCACATGGTGGGGATGGTGAAAAGTCTAAAATCGGCTGTGAGAGTAAATCTAAAGCTTGACTATTTGTATCACAAGACTTTGGCTGTTCGCTTCGACGATCAGCGTCGTGACAGGCATCGATCGCACCGAAATTGGCGGCCGGTTCGGTGCCAGCAGCATCATCATCGAAACTTATTAGATCCTTAACTACTGGTAGAGTTTCCATTACGGTATCACAGTTGGGAGTGGGTAGGAGGAGGTGGGGGTTGGGTGCATTCTGCGAGAACGTTTCCATTTCAATGAGAACGGTGTCCTGCAGTGAGCCCTGCACGGCACCCATTTTGCGCTGACGAACCGTCGCTGAACCGACCCCGCCATTTGGTTTGGACTTGGTGGTGAGGCGCGGAGACTCTTCGTGGACGATGGCATTTACCGTAAGACGTTCAACCGAATCATCTTGCCCGGGCGCATTCGCTTCCATCGTCATGTTCGATTTCGCGTACTTCTTATTGACCGTTGCATACAGAGGTAGTTGTAATGCGGGCTTCAGCGACGACGGCTGATCGAGTACTAACGGAATTGGCATAGCTTGTGCCGTTTTACTGCAACCACCACGAGACACCACTGTGGTGGGATTGCCAAAGCTACCACCACCACCAACACAGCCATTGCTAGCAACACCGCTATTGCCTCCACCTCCCGCGCTATTAGCGCACGCGTGGCTGCGATTGTGAAAGATTTTTACACTTTGCATCGGTAATTTGTGACGATGATTGTGGTGACGATTACGTGCAATGGTCGCGGCCGACATATTGCAGTGCTTGCGCTGGTAGCGGCGAGTATATTTGTTGGCAATGCTGTATGAAGGGTCGTACAGCTGATGCGGTTCGTTGACTTTGCCATCGCCATTACAACCACCACACTCGCCACTACTGCTGTCATTGCCAGTGGAACAGTGGACTCGAGCTGGCTTCTGTTGTTGTTCCCTGCCTTGGGATGACAACCATGTTGAAGGTCTTTCGCACGATTTTAGCAAACGCTGCAGCATTAATTGCGACTGGGTTTTCCTCTGCTGAGCAGAAGACGGCAACTTGGCCGAGTTGCAACGCGATCCGTTGGGGTCGTTTAGACACTTGGCACAACAAAGGAACTCGTACAGAACCTCATCTTCCGATATGGAGGCGGGCGGTGTGAATGTCGAATACTTGGGCTCAAGTTCGATACTTTGTGTATCTTTCTCTGTGGCTGATGTTGGGGGCAAGTTGGCATTTTGCATTTGCGTCGATGCCGTGACTGGCATTAAAATATAGGTGTTCTTTTGGGGTCGGCTGCTGTTATTTCCGCCGGATACCTCAACATTATGGCTTTGAATATTTTCCTTATTCATCTCCAACATTTTGGACTCCGCATCCCCGATATTAGCACCACTGCCGGTGCTGCTAATCGATGCGCCACCATTATTGGCGACAATGGAGCTTTCGATGCTGATGCCACTGTCCAACAGCATAAAAGTGCCATCTGAGGGCAAAATCAGTCGTCCTTCCGCAGCTGCATTGACCAGCTCCCTGAGGGCCAGAACCTGTTTCTCGGTCACATTCCCCTGCAACTGAATGCCATGCAGGGCAAATGCAGCCGGCTTATTATTGACCGAATTGGGATCGGTGCACCATACAACGGGCATAGTTGTCATCCTGTCCGAAATCACAGTAACGAGTGTAATTTCAAGCAAACACAGACCCTTGGACGGTGTGGCATGGATGCATTAACAAGGATATCATTTAGCGGTGTTTTGTACTTTAATAAATAAATTCGTCTAAATTGAGGGTGTTTTGGTGACTTGTTGACTGCTGATCGCTGCTGTTGCTTTTGCTGCTATCGAACTGTAAATTTCAAATATAAAACAAAAGAGTCAAATGAGCCAAAGTGGGGTTTCAAAGTTTCAAGCCCACATCTCTGCTACCAATGTTTTTGTGTGATCGTTTCAATTCTGATTTGATTGGAGTTTTCTCATAACTTGTTGGTTGGGCGATTTTTCCACCGGGCATTCCTAGGAATTTAAAGTTCTTAGAAAACACGCCTGTGTATAAGTTTTTTTTCTGTTTCAATAGAATAATTTAACTGGTGCTAATGACACAAGTTTGAAACAAATCTCTATTCACCCAACAATGGTTCGAATACAACCAGATATTATTTCAAATTTAGAGAATCGTTCCAGTCTGTAGTTTGAATAGCGAACAATACATTATTTTGTTTTGAGTTCCCTCAGGGCAAGATTAGCGTTGTTTGTCAGAATGATGTCTGCGTGTGTTTTATTGTTTGTCAACCGAAAATTGGTTGCTCTTTTCAATAATATCGCATTTATTTTGAAAACAGTAAATTTATGTAGTTTAGATGGAAGAATTTTTTCGTACGGAAATCAGGTGTAGAATTAAAAATAAATATGAACGTTTTAATATTAAAAAATGCTTTATCATCGTCAAGAAATTCAAACAAATCTCAATTCGTTCAGAAGTTTTACGATAGAACTAAGGAATTGCTATTCTATAAAAGCTTTTAAAAACGATTTTAGTTATAGACATTGTTATAAAAACATTTGCTCTGATCCAGAATTTGCAAGAATCTACAAGTTTTACAATTTTTGGCTTTCACGTTACAAACACATGCATCGTTATCTTATTGATAAAAATTCTATAGTGCTTTAATTTTTTTACATTTTGTTTGTATTTTAATTTCGAGATATTTTCAAATTGAAAGCTTCGAAAAAGCTTATGGAGAATTTTTTTCTGAATATTTGAAGAAACAACATTTTTATTGTTACAGAGTCGACCTAGGCTTCCTGTAAAAAATGACATTGGAATGTCAAATTTAGTGACAATGTTTGAGTTGTTCAATGGAATTGTGTGGCAGATTGATGATTTAAATTGCAGACATAATATTGTCGTTTGTCGGGTCTCGGTTTGGCAAGTACTTACTTCCTATTACACGTCCATGTTAAAATAATGGTTTAGAATGCATTTCGCTCCGGCAAATTAACTACTTTCATAATTTAATACTTTATTTTTTGCCAATGCTGATACTCGGTTTTCGCAGACAGACACACACGCCCTTTTACTCATTACTTGGCAGTGAAGAAACTAAGTTATTTCACTTTGTAATCTTTTAGGAATTAAATGTTTATTTTATCTTGTAATGGTTATTTGAATTATGTGTCTCACAAAATGTTTTTGGTAAGGTTTGACACAATAACGAATTCGAACACAGCCAAATCAAGGAAAACCTAACACTCCCTTTAATTACTCATTTAACTTTTACTGAGTCGGTCTAGGGTTTCTGTTAAAAAAAAAAAAAAACAAAAAACTATGTGACGTAGTCGAAAGTTGAGCTAAAAAAATCGATTTTTTTGAAATCGTTAAAAATAAGTAGTAACCAGATATCTAAGATATAAACTGTGGCATACTGTTTAGCTGGTATGAAAATTAAGTCAATCAAACTATACAATTTGGTAGCAATTCAACGATTTGGTAATTGGGTATAATAGTAAGTGAAAGGTTCTATGTTCAAATCACGACAAAGATAAGCTACTTCAAGAAGATGGACAAGAAAAATGTCCGCATAGTAAATATTATTTTGAAGGTTTTTCCCTTATTGACTGACTCTCATTACCTGTCTATGGGAACATTTTTCCTATTTTATCTACGTGTTCAAAATAAAAAAAAAACTACTTGGTGGTCTTGCTGGTGGCTTTCAAATATTACATCACTCAAATGACAAGACAAGGAGTATTTGAATCATGTCCATTTTTGTCAAAATTATCTCAGGCCTCCAGTGGTTTGAAGCGTGTATCGATCGGATGAATTCAAATTTGCATTTTTGTATCGGATAAGTCAGCAGGAACACTATATCTTGTCTTTACCATTTACCCTTAACCTGAAATCTTAATTTTCTTTTTGCAAAAACGAAACACTAACTCTTCACCGCTGAATAACACAGACAAAAAAATAACAATAACAACAAAAAATAGTGCAATTGATGAGTGGTAAAATAGAGACGCATTCCTTACCTAAATATTCCGTTCCACCGAAATAGGTACAATGTCAAAGACGACCTTGATTTTAACGAAAATTCAAATTGCGTTGGAATCGTTTAAATTGCCAGCCATTCAGCGCGTGTTACTTTTTCTAATCGAGTGGCGATCAATGCGACAACCACAACAACACCAAAAAATACATGTGTATGTGGAAGACCCCACAACAACAATAGGGCCAGATAGAGAAATAGCGGGCACGCATGAAAACATGGAATTATTTTAAAATCAAATATCATAAAATATATCATAAAATCAAATATCATAAAATCCATTGAAATCTAAAGAAGGCACTCACGCACACACGCAAAATGTGTTGTCTCAATTTTTTTTGTAAGCCTACCTACCTACCTACTACCCACCCGCAGCTTGGTTAGTTTTTTTTTTGCGAGAATTCAAACTGAAATATTGAAAATTTTTCGGATGTGGTCTGATTTGCTTATTTCCCATATCAGTCAACAAAACCAACAACAACAGACAAACACAAGCAGTTACAACAACTTTACAGTCATTTGCAAAACAAACAAACGCCAACCAAATCCAAACATTCAGCCAATCACAAGCAATCTCCATTCCACCATCGCCCCCACTCTGCGCACAACATTCAATCGGCAATTAATGAGGAAGGCAGCCTCTACTGAAGAATGCACTGTGCCAATATGACGATCGTCGGACGGACGGACCGACGGCATCGTCCATTTCGATTCATTCATGAATAACTCGACGCTGCTGGCGGCTTTCGTGCATTTTGTTTTCTACGACGACGCTCGTTTGCATTCGATTTACATTCAATTCGATATCCAATATGCCGATCGCCTACGCTGTACCCGCACACAACTGATGCCAATATTTTCCTTCAATCCTCCTCTGCTCACCACATCGCGCACCGCCAATGTGTACGTTGGCAGTGGCGTTGGCGCCCAAACGCTACTCGCGTCATCAATCATCCCCATTGCTAGAGGTGGGGGTGGCGGACGGTTAAGTTTTATTCAGTTAATTCAATGATAATTAAAGCCATCGGCTGGCAAATCGTCATCAATTTGTTAGGCGTGAATGAACGAATGATAAACCATTTGCCGTTCGATTCAAATTCAAGTTCCAATCACTGTAGGTTTGGAGCAGAATAGCAGCGCATCGTAGCCTGAGTGTGGTGAATATGTGGCGCATGGATGCTGTTTGATTAATGGCCAAAAAAAGCCGGCACATTCTGTCGCGAAACCGTGTTTTGTGACATAATTTGTCAATCGATGAGGTGCAAAAAAAAACGAATTTGTTATTTATTTTTGTTTGTTTGTTTTATTTTTTTTTCTGGATTTTAAATATGTACATCCCCACATATATGTATGTGGATATCAACATATTATTATGTTGTTAAGAGACAAGAAAAAAGGTCAAGGTTAAGAGACACCTCCCTAAGAGTGGGAAGACTTGTTAACCAAATATTTAAGATGCTGTGTAGGTGACAACCTTATCTAGAAATTAACGAAGAAGATAGTAAGGAAAAATAAAAATCAAAATAATGAATGTTTTGTCCTCTTCTTTGCTCTCAGGAATGCTTCTAATGTCCGCCATTCACTCCGTGAAGCATGTTTAGAGTGCAGACGAAAGTTAATGACGTTTAATTTATTTCTTTAATTACTTGAATTTTAGAGAAAACCTAAATGTCAAAATCGATTTTGCTAACAAAGAAAATAAAAAAATTAACAAGAAAAATCAGTTGAGCCCGATAGGACAATTCAAGCCCATCAAGCCATGTAACCAACACTGTACAATAACATGTGTATGTGTATATAGATTGGAAGCAGGGTAGCTGCCATGGGAGAATATGGGAAACGGCTTTGCTAGAACAAGAGCCGAATTATTATTACTTTTTATTTTTGGTATTTACTTCGCACAATACTTCGAAATAAGTAGTATTTTTCAAAGCACGGCCCTTGAAAGTATTGAATTTATAAAGGCCGACAAACCGTTCTGTTCGATTTAAAGTTTATTAACAGAATAAAATATGAAAAACAGAAATACAATTTTCATTACATTAAACAAAATTCAAAACCTACTAAGGATGAAATTTAACAAGTGAATGTATTCAAAGTATAATCCAATACTCCTCCTCATTCACTTTAAATTGCATTTCTCGCGTAAAGTTACATGTTTAGGTGCTGTTAGTGGTTTCGTTAATATATCGGCAATCATCTCCTCCGTTGGACAATATGTGCATCTAATTATTCCTTTCTTGACTAGGTCTTTTGTTAATTTATATTTTGTATCGATGTGTTTAGTTCGAAAAGAAAATTTGTCATCATTTACTAGACGCAAACAGCTTTGGTTGTCATTATAAATAAGAGTTGGTTCATTAATAGGATAATGAATTTCTTCTAATAGTTGCCTTAACCACTTTGCGTCTTTAGAAGCTTCAGATAATGAAATAAATTCAGCCTCGCATGTCGATGTTGCCACAATTGATTGTTTCTGGCAAGACCATCCTATCGTACCTCCATTATAAAAGTAAATTCTACCACTATTAGATTTCCTTTCGGTTCTTTCTTCTGCCCAATTTGCATCAGCATATCCAACAAGACTTTGTTCATTTTCATCATTGCTCAAATTAAGTTTTAACTGTGAAGTAGACTTAAGATATTTCAGAACCCTTTTACATTGAGACCAATCCTCCATTGTAGGGTTGGCAACCTTCTGAGCCAATATATTTACTGCAGCTGAAATGTCTGGTCGAGAATTGACAGAAATATATAAAAGTTGTCCAATTAATTTTCTATACTTCATATTTGTTTCAAGAAG